AAACCCAGAGATGAGGAGCTTCCCCTCTCTTGCTCCTTGTCTCTCCATTCCTGCTCTCGGTACCCAGGTCTAATTGCTTCAGCCTCTGCTGGCTTGTGCCAGTGAAGTAGTTCTGCCACCAGTAGTGAGTTACAAACTGTGTTCAGAAAGGCAACTCACTCACTGCCGGGCCACTAACATCGGTATTTGAGGTCCAGGTCCAGCTAGCTCTGGTCCTGACCCTTTGCTGTTCAGAGCCACTGCCCTGCACCCCCACCTTGTTTCCTAGTCTGGGAGCCTGTGCCCATCACTCCAGCTGCCCACCTCCTGTTTTCCCAGGCACCTGGCTGCTGGCCCCTTTCTGCCTTGCTGGCTTACACGAGCCTTCATCTGCAGGGGAAGGCAGCCCCATTACTGCTGTTAAGGGTAAACTTATTGTCGAAAAAGTTTGATACCAGCCCTTGGTTTCAGAGAAAGAAAACTTCTTTTTCTTCTTTTTTTTTTTTTTAATTGAGAAAACTTTGTTCACACGTCAACACTCATACTGAGATTAAGCTCACCAGAAGGGGTCAGGACAATAAGTTTACCCTTAACAGCAGTAATGGGGCTGCCTTCCCCTGCAGATGAAGGCTCGTGTAAGCCAGCAAGGCAGAAAGGGGCCAGCAGCCAGGTGCCTGGGGAAAACAGGAGGTGGGCAGCTGGAGTGATGGGCACAGGCTCCCAGACTAGGAAACAAGGTGGGGGTGCAGGGCAGTGGCTCTGAACAGCAAAGGGTCAGGACCAGAGCTAGCTGGACCTGGACCTCAAATACCGATGTTAGTGGCCCGGCAGTGAGTGAGTTGCCTTTCTGAACACAGTTTGTAACTCACTACTGGTGGCAGAACTACTTCACTGGCACAAGCCAGCAGAGGCTGAAGCAATTAGACCTGGGTACCGAGAGCAGGAATGGAGAGACAAGGAGCAAGAGAGGGGAAGCTCCTCATCTCTGGGTTTCTGGAATGTCATCCTGGCTGATCTCTAAGTGTCCTTTTTGTTTTGTTTTGTTTTCTTTTTTTTTGACAGTGCAGCTCAACAAGGACACAGTGTGCAAGCCTTGCCGTGTAGGCTACTTCTCAGACACCTTTTCTTCCACGGACAAATGCAAACCCTGGACCAAGTAAGTGACAACAGAGGAGCCAAAGACTTTGCTGATTTTATATAACTCAACCTCCACTGTCTCGTCTGGGTTGAAAACAGACGGATTTCATTGGGTTAGGCTTCCTCTTGAAGCCATGTTCAAAATGAAAAATGTCAATTCAGTGTGGGGAAAATAAACCAGTCAAACCAATTCTTCAACCTGATATGCATGATGGGAACTTCATGTGACATTTTAGATTCAGTAGTCTGTGACTTACAATTGCAGCTTCTTTTTTCCTTTTTCTAACCTTATTTAGTTGAAAATGATTTATGACATATATTAGCATTCAATAACCACTCCTACTTTTCCCAACTTCCCAACATCACTGGTTTATTTATTCGTCACTCATTTGTGTGTGTGTTGTATATGTGTATGCAGAATCCTCCTGTTTATATAAATGTTTGTATGCTGACTATAAACACCTCGGGTTTTTTTTTCACATATCCTGAAGTATTTTCTGTATTAGTTCACCTAATCTTTGTGGCTTTTTACAGCTGTAGAGTGTTTCATTGTAGAGATATGCTGTGATTTGTTAAGTGCCCTATTGATAGTCATTTAGGTTGTTTCTAGTCTTTTGCAATACATAATTTTATAACGAAGTTTCTCATATATGTACTTTTTCAGTCATATGTGTCCTTTCACTGCATGCTTGATGTTGAATGCTAAAAATCCATGTAATGATTCTTTCAGTTCCCAGTATATTCTGTATTAAATGTTTATTTTCTGATCCACTCATGCGAGTTTTATGCTGAAGAGAATTTTCTTCATTTTTCAACTTCAAAAGAAGCATCATCAAAATCATCAAAAGTGTATCACTTAGCCATGGTTATTGAAGCTACCGGAATGTTCTTTACTGAAGACCCTGATCCACTCTCTTGTTGACCACACTCCCAGAGTAGTTCTTAGGGACACAGGCAGTGGTTGCTTCTGTTCACCCAGTTTTCCCACCTTTGCGATGTGCTGCCCTTCTCCGGAAGGCCCTGCAGATGCAAAAGTCCAAGAAGACGTGGGTTCCTCTCCAGAGAGAGCTGGCAACCCAGTGCAGGCTATCGTGTGTGTGTGTGTGTGTGTTTTAAGCAAGAATATAAAATCAAAGCACTTAACTACTCCCCCCCCCCCACAGCTGTACCATCCTTGGAAAGACAGTAGAACATCCTGGGACAGAGAAATCAGATGTGGTTTGCAGTTCTTCTCTGCCATCTAGAAAGCCACCAAATGGTATGTTTTAAAAGAGCTTGTTGGTTGGCAGATGTGCCCCGGTATAGTCAGCTCGTCTGGACCTTGCCCGAATGACACGCTGGATCTTCCCCTGCAGGAGATTGTCTTCCCTTTTCATTGCATCCTGTCTGTGGTCAGCTCAGTATTTCATTTTTATCAGTATTTTAATTCCAGGTGTTGTTTCCTTGATAACTTTCTACATTGGATTGGGGATAGCTAATAAAAGCTACCTATCGTTATTTATGGAACACTTTGTAGATGAAATTAATCTTAAGTACAGCTCCAAAGATTGACAGAAAGTCAATGGTTAATGCGGGAGACTGGCTACTCAGGGTGAGTGAGACCACCATCAAAGTCATCGAAAATCTATCACTTAGCCATGGTTAAGACACGTGGTGAGACAGTGCGAAGGTGGGTCCAGTTATTGGAAGAGATGGCCTAAGTGGCAAGAAGACCTTTCTGATGCAGGTCACAGAATAACAGTTAACGAACGGGCTTTGACCAAGAAAATCAGGGTTTTAGATTTGACGCTTTGGGGACAAGTAAGACTTTACAGCATTCTGGATATGAAGTTATACAATCAGAGCACAGTTTATAAAAGACCATTTTGCAGATAACATTAAAAATAACTAAGGGAATAATAAAAGGTTGTTTTTAAAAAGAAAGGAGAGGAATGATAGGAGTCCAGGATGCCAGAACAAGTAAACCACGAGTTCATAATGTGAAGATTGTTCTGGCAATGAAGCAATCAAGGAGGGATGAAGAAAATGGTCAAGTCCATATTGTGTCATAGATGAAGCAGCGGGGATACATCACAGGGTGACTGTGGTTGCATTCTCAAGATCAGCAAGACCTGGTGCGGTGTTGCTGTTAGGAACAAGATAGGACAAAGGGCTTCCTTCTGCCTGCAGAGCATCCACCTGGGGAAGGGGGGTCCTGGAGCTAAGCCAGGATGAAGCTGGGCAGCATGGTGAGCGCAGTTCGAATTGTTCTAAAATAGAAACATCACAGTGGCCCTGGGTGACCTCATGCCTGGTGAAGGCAGAGTGACCAGGCCTGGGCTAGGTTGTGGGTCCCAATCTCAGAGTGTGAGCGCATGCTGACAAACCCATTCGGAGCTGGGGAGCTTCCTACTTAGCTCATTCCAAACCAAGACCCTTGATTCTGGGGTTTGATTTGCAGAGTTTTGTTTTTAAGCTTAACAAAATCAAATAATCTCTAATGCTGTATTTCTTTCTTTCTTCCAATACAGAACCCCAGATTTACTTGCCCGGTTTAATTATTCTGCTGTTCTTCATATGTGTGGCAGTAGTTGCTGCTGTCATCTTTGGTGTTTACTACAGGAAAAAAGGGAAAGCACTAACAGGTATTGTGTGCATGGTGGCTTTAATCTTAAAGAAAATAGATACATTTCTAGTAAATGCTTTGGAAAATGAGTAGATTGTCTACTGGCTACCTTTGGTGATCTGCTTAAATAAGTGCCTTGAGGTGGTTGCACTTAAACTAAAGTGAAACACCTCGTTTATGTCTTACTGTTCTCTAGCAAAAACAAAAACAAACACCCAAAACCCAACATTGTGTCTGTTTGTATATATGCAAACAAGAATATTCTAGCATTCAGGAAAGTGACAATTTGTAAGCTCTGTTTAACTTGTATAGATGACGCAGCATTGATTATACGGGGGGGGGGGTGGCATTTATCCTATAATACACCAATTTTTAATGTACACATTTAAAATGTAGACAGAATATTCAGATGAATGGTAGGGGGAAGTTTTGATTGGGGTGTTACTTTGAAATGTGAATCTGAAATTATGATTTTGGATTTATGAGGTGAATCTAAAATTATATATTTAGTAAATGTAGGTGCTTATTCTTAGAATGGACAATAAAGTGTTGTCTTATTTCTTGGGAATAATTTTCTCATAAAAATTGTTGGTGCCTTTAAATATCACATCATGTTTGGCATATACTACAAAGTTAACTAATTTTTACGAAAAGATTCAAGGCTTTATTAGGTTTCCTAAAATATTTCTTTTTTTCTTTCTTTTTTTTCTTTCGGCATATTATGGGGGTACAGATTTTTTAGGTTCATAAATGCCCTTTCTAACCTCCCCAAGTCTTGAGTTTCCAGTGTGACCATCCCCCGAGATGGTGCACATCTCACTCATTATGTATGTATATACCACCCCCCTCCCTCCCACCTGCCCAATACCCTATTCTGTAGTACTATGTGTCCACTTAGGTGCTGCTCAGTTTAATACCAGTTGCTGGTGAGTATATGTGGTGCTTGTTTTCCATCTTGGATACTTCACTTAGTAGTATGGGTTCACAGCTCTAACCAGGAAAATATAAGATGTGCTATATCACTGTTGTTTCTTAGAGCGAATAGTACTCCATGGTATACCATATACCACATTTTATTAATTCTTGGATTGATGGGCACTGGGCTGTTTCCACAGCCTTGCAATTATGAATTGTGCCTGCTATAAACATTCGGGTGCAGGTGTCTTTTTGTAGAGTGTCATTGGATCTTTTGGATAGATGCCCAGCAATGGATTGCTGGAGTCAAATGGTAGATTCACTTGTATCGCTTTAAGGTATCTCCTATTGCTTCTCACAGAGTGAACTAGTTTGCAGTCCCACCAGTAGTGTAGGAGTGTTCTCTCTCTCCACATCCACACCAGCATTTATTGCTTGGAGACTTTTTGATAAAGGCATTCACTGGATAGTGATATCTCATTGTGGTTTTGATTTGCATTTTCCCTGATGATTAGAGATGTTGAGCATTTTTTCATATGTTTGTTGGCATTCTTCTGTCTTCTTTAGAAAAGTTTCTGTTCAAGTCCTTTGCCCACTTTTAATAGGGTTTATTGAATTTTTCTTGCGATTTCTTGAGTTCTAAGTTATCTCTAGTTATCAGTCCGTTATCGATGCGTAGGAGGCAAAAATTTTCCCCATTCTGTAGTTGTTTACTTTCATGATATATTCTTTGGCTGTGCAGAAGCTTTTTAGTTTGATCATGTCCCATTTATTATATTTGTTGCTGCTCAGATTGCTTTGGGATTCTTCATACTCTTTGCCTAGCCGATGTCTAGGAGAGTGTTTCCAACATTTTCCTCTAGAATTCTAACAGTTTCATACCTTAGTTTAACTGTTATCCAGCGTGAGTTGATTTTTGTGAGAGCGTGAAAGGATGGGTCTGCTTTACCATTCTATCAAGTGGCTATCCGTTATTTCCCAGCACGCTCTTTCAAAGATATTCTTAATCGTTTAATATTTTCACATTCATTCTCTCTCTTCTCTGCTCATTTTTTTTTGAAGAAACAGGAGATCTCACTCTGTTGCGTGGGCTAGAGTGCAGTGACATCATCATAGCTTACTGCAACCTCAAACTCCTGGCCTCAAGCGATCCTCCCACCTTGGCCTCCTGAAGTGCTAGGATTGCAGGCGTGAACCACTGCGCTTGGCCCAAATTATTCTCTTTTGAAGCACCTGTTGTTTCAGCATCCTTTTCCATTTTCAGTTGCTTACTTGTTGATACTGTCCCCATCTCCTTTGCTGTGATTTGGTCAGTTCTCCCATATCACATCCATAGACTTCATAACACCCAGCAGATCTTCTTTCTATTTCTATTACCATTACATGGCCTAATGTAACACTGGGCAATCAAAAGAATAATTAAAGAAGAAAGGTTAGCTGTCTCTTCATCCATTCATCCACATGTGTTAATTGGCCACCAGGCACTGGCCTGGCACTGAGGTCTCAATATGGAACAGCACAGACACAGCCAGTACCCTCCTGGAGGAAGCAGCTCAGTGGGCAGGAAAGCGCTCAGCACGCAGCTGAGCACCGGACAGGAAGTGCCCAGCACCAGGTAGCAGGTGACAGAGGGTCTGCCCGCCCTTGGGGTCAGCCGGGGCTTCCCAGAGGAGGAGATGGGCGAGCTGAGATCTGAAAGGCAGTTGGAATTTATGTGCTGTGCTGAGGGGATTGAAGAGGCTAATGCACCCATAGCAGAAAGTCAGGGGGCCAGGTGAGGTGGCACCGGAGAGGAAGGCACGGCCAGACGAGGAGGCCTGCAGGTGTCGGTAGAGCGCAGTGAGGACAGACTCCGGCTTGGTAGCACACAGACTCGGGGGTGCAGGGAGACTGGACGCAGGTGCACCAGACAGGAAGGCGTTTGCAGTTATCTCGGGGAGTGATGATCAAGTTAGTTATGACTGGTTATCACCTCTGTGTACAAGTATTTCTGTTTAGTACCATTTGTGATTATCTAGACTGATTCCTACAAGGAAACAGCTGCTACTGTCTTTTTGTTGGGAGTAATTTTTCTGTGATATAATTTCAAAACAATAGCAACAAGAATGATGATGATAGCAATAGCTAACATATAGTGCATGTTATCATATGCCAGCACCACTATATGCATTTGACATGTGCTAAGTAAATCTTCACAACAGCACCGTGCAGTAGGCACTATTATTTTCCTTATTTTGTGAGGAAGAAACTGAGGCTAAGAGGGGTTAAATAAACTGTGCAAGGTTACATAATAGTGTATAGCATAAATGAGATTATGTGTAGACTGCGCAGCCCAGCGCCCGGTGCACTTATGTGCTCAGTATGTGTTAGATGTCATTACTGTTATTAGGAACTGTGATTATCTTCCCATGGAGAACTGATGACTCCTAACTTCAGTCTTTATAGTGGATACAACCTTACATATTCATTAGAGGTGGGATAAAATTTTATCTTGGGATAATATAAATTCATAGATTTGACCTTTTAGGTTTCATCACTTCTATTTTATAAAAGTTAATGGAGATGTACTTTGTATATGCCAAAGAACATATTCTTCTTTCTTCTGAGAAGCAACCAAGGATAGTGGAAAAGATCTGGGGACCTGCTGGAATTCAGCAGGGTCTGACAGCCCTTCACGTATACCTCGATTTTATTGTACATACATTGGAGCTAGTTAACTAGAAAATCGGTCTTAGACACGTCTTCTTTGTTCCCTACGATGTCTACCCTAGTCCCTGGTAATCAAAGAAAGCTTGCTAAGGGAATGGGAATGTCTGTCGTCATAACAGCAGCTCTGACAGCCCACATGTGCCCAGAGTATTCAGTGGATCATGCTTTGCCTTACACGGCTTGGGCAGTTCTGTTGTGATAGGAGTAAGATGCATTCATACCCTTCAAATTGAGTTGATTCATTTTTAAATGCTTTACTCCCAAGAATACTCACTGAAAGGCTTGCAGTGGACAATGCTGAAAGATAATATTGGACTGACATAGCAGTCAGTACTACTGAGCCTGACACAGAAAAATAGCACATGATCTCCCTTATATGTATAATCTCCCTTATATGTATAATCCTTATATGCATAATCTTTTTTTTGAAAAATATACAGAGATAGAAAATAAAATAGTGGTTACCAGGGGCAGGGGGAAAGAAATGAGGGGATGTCAAAGATACAAAGTAGCAGATATGTGGGCTGAGCAAGTCTAGAAATCTAACGTACAACATGAGCATGGTAGTTAATGATCTTGTATTCAGGATTTTTGCTGCATTTGTAGATTTTAGCTATCTTGCCATACACAAAAATACTAAGGTAACTATGTGAGATGATGGATATGTTAATTTGTTTCACTATGGTAACCGTGCTACTGTTTTTGTTCCATAACCTCGTGTTGCATATCTTCAGTATACACAATGAACTGTATTTTAACAAAAAGAAATAGGAAATAATAACATGAAGTCTTTGTCCTTGCTTTGTTTTTCTAGCTAATTTGTGGCACTGGATCAACGAGGCTTGTGGCCGCCTAAGTGGAAATAAGGTAAAGTTAAAAGCCTTAGTGCCTCCTTTAAGTACTTTCCACAGTTAGGCCGATCTAGCCGTATTAGTCCTATATTGAGCCCCGTGGCTCAAGGGGCACTTCCGTGTGTGGTGATTAAACCTCAACTCCCAGATGGATCCCCTTAGAACAACCCAAAGCCCAAGGCCATGCTCATCCTAAATGCCCGTTTTCTTGGTTTTCATTCTGCTTGTCATCTCTGTGTAAGTGCGTTATTTCTGTAGTACCAATCTTGATTGTCTAGTATAGATTTCTAGGAAGAACAAGATGCAACTTTCCTTGACTCTGTAGTTATTTGGTAACTTTTTACTTTAACATAACTTCAAAATTATAAAAAAGTGGTGGAAAGGCCTTCCACGTGCCCTATACTCAGACCCACCAGTATTCATTTTATCGCATTGCTTTATTATTTGCTCTCTCTCTGTACGGTTTTGTCTTAAACCATTTTAGACTGAATGGCAGACAGTGGGTTACTATGTCCTTCAGTACTTCATTGTGAATTTCTTAAGAACAAGGATGTTGTTGCATATAACCATAGTGCATTTATCAAAAGCAAGAAACTTAACAGTGGTACAATACTGTTAGCCAGTCTATTTTTGATATTAAAATTTCATTAAGCATCCCATTAAATCCTTTAGATCTACTTGCTTCGGTAGAAAAATATACACATTTTAAAGCAGGAGCTCAAGCTGATTTCTCCAATTCCAGTGCCAACACTACAGGATTCATCCTGGTCTTTTTGTTTTCCATATCTGAATCTCTCCTTCCTCAGCAGTATGAAACCTAGTTCCTATTATTCTCAAAATATTTCTTCATTTGCTCAATACTAGAGTGCACACAGAGTAGTTTTGGAGTTATAGCAAAACACAGAGCTACAGAATCGAGTTCAATATTTGTTTATAGTTGTTTTTGTTTTTGTATTTATATTGAGAGTATATAGTCAAAATATTGTGTTCAAAATTTATTTGGGTTAGCTCTCCCCCTTGCTTAGACGTGAATATGCTATTTATTTGAAATGCAGCTAGATTCATTTGTTTCTGGGTGTATTCCATTATAGCAGCAGCCCCCAACCTTGGTGGCACCAGGGACCGGTTTCGTGGAAGAAACGTTTTCCACACCCCTGCAGGGGTTGGGAGAAGGCAGCAGAGCTCTCTGGCCGGGTCCCTAACAGGCCACAGACCAGTACCCATCCGCAGCCCAGGGATTGGTGACCACGGCATTATAGGATTCTCTTGCACTCTGTAATTTAATTTTATTTTTTCTTTTCTTTTCTTTTTTTTTTTGAAACAGTCTCACTCTGTTGCCCGGGCTAGAGTGCCATGGCGTCAGCCTAGCTGACAGCAACCTCAAACTCCTGGTCTCAAGCAATCCTCCTGCCTCAGTCTCCTGAGTAGCTGGGACTACAGGCATGCGCCACCATGCCTGGCTAATTTTTTCTAGATATTTTTAGTTGTCCAATTAATTTGTTTCTATTTTTAGTACAGACGGGGTCTCACTCTTGCTCAGTCAGGCTGGTCTCGAACTCCTGACCTTGAGCGATCCACCCACCTCAGCCTCCCAGAGTGCTAGGATTACAGCTGTGAGCCACCATGCCCGGCCTGTCATTTTACATAACATAAATAAAGTGCCCTGGTGAATGTTCCAGCTGTACTTGTCTTGGTGGAAATAATTAGTATAAATACCGTTTTCAGCAGTGTTTAGCCAAACATGTTCTAGTAACTCTGGGTATTAATGCCTCTGCCTTCTGAATTTAAATCGGCAGGAGTCCTCAGGTGACAGTTGTATCAGCACTCACACAGCAGCCTCTAGTCAGCACAAAGCGTGTGAAGGTGTCTTACTGCTGACTCTGGAGGAGAAGCCGTTTCCAGAAGATATGTGCTATCCAGACGGTGGTGGAGTCTGTCGGGGAGCGTGTGCAGGAGGTGGTCCCTATGCACAGGGCGAAGACGTCAGGATGCTCTCCTTGGTCAGCAAGACCGAGACCGACGGGGACCCCTTCAAGCAGATTCCCACGGAAGACGAATACATGGACAGGCCCTCCCAGCCCCCAGACTGTTTACTGTTCCTGACTCAGCCTGGAAGCAAATCCACACCCCCTTTCTCCGAGCCCCTGGAGGTGGGGGAGAATGACAGTTTAAGCCAGTGCTTCACGGGGACAGAGAGCATGGTGGATTCAGAAAGCTGCAACTTCACGGAGCCCCTGTGCAGGACTGAATGGATTCCTGTGGCCTCTGAAAAGTACTTGCAAAAAGAGGTGGAGGGTGGCAATTGCCCCCACTGGGCAGCCAGCTCCAACTCGGCAGATGGCTGCACAGGCTGCGGGAACCCTCCTAGGGAGGACCATGAACCCCTCATGGGTTCCCCAAAATGTGGACCCTTGCCCCAGTGTGCCTATGGCATGGGCCTCCCCCCCGAAGAAGTAGCCAGCAGGGCAGAGAGGGGAGACCAGCCCCAGGACGGGGCTGATGGGAGGCTTCCAAGCTCGACGAGGGGAGGTGCTGGGTCTGGAGGCTCCCCCAGTGACCAGCCACCTGCATCCGGTAAGTGACTTTCCTGGTCTCTCACTTCTGAGCAGAAAGGCCTGTTCTTGGCACAGGGTTTGGTGGCAGGTATTACAGGCCATTTAGGGAAGAGGAAACTAGCATGGGAAAAATTCAACTTGAGTGTTTTCTCTTAAGCATCTTTAGGCTGGTGTGGTGTCTCACACCTATAATTCTGGCACTTTAAGAGGCCAAGGGTGGAGGATTGTTTGGGGCCAGGAGTTCGAGACCAGCAACAAAGTGAGACTCTATTTCTACAAAAAGTTAAAAAATTAGTGGGGCATGGTGGCACATGCCTGCGTCCCAGCTACTTGGGAGGCCAAGATGGGAGGATCACTTGAGCCCAGGAGTTTAAGGTTACAGTGAGCATGATCACGCCATTGCACGTCTAGCCTGGGCGACACAGTGAGACCCTGTCTCTAAAAAATAAAAAATAAGAGTCTTTAGAGGATGGGTTTGGATTCAGACCGCATGTCGGATTGTGGATTGGGCTGTGTGACTGCACCTTCTACTACTGAAGCTGTTTCTGTATTTGTCCCGTACCCTTCTGTATTTAGGCTTCTCATGCTAGGATCAGACACCAATCTCAGCTTTGACCCCCAAAAAACAAAGTCAACACTGACACCTCAGGGCTGGCTGAATCAGAGAGTTCCCTCAGATTTCTGGTTTTTGGTTTTTGTGTTGAAAGCATCTTAGGCCTCGAAAATCTCCTCCAAGAAAGCTCTTATAAATTTCAGGAGGACAAAATTGTCTAGTTAATCCTCAGTTAATTAATATTCATTGTGAGTAGTGTATTGCATCTATACCAAATTAATGATACAGTAAAACTGTCCTTTAATGTTTTATATGAGAAGCCCCTTTTCTAACCACTATGTATAATGTATTTAGGGAACTAGGAGGGTAATTTTAACAATTTAACATCATTATAGAGATTTATCACTGCAACACTGCTTGAGCATGAACAACCCACCAATTATGATATTATAACTTTTTTTTCATGAGGGTAAAACACCATCTGCTTTATTATGTAGTTACAAAGGACTCTGCAGCTGACAATTCCCTCTGGCTCTGGGAATTACTTGTCATGCAAGGGTCAGGGATCTCTTTGAGAATCGTTTGTTAGCTATAGACTCTCTCTCCAGAAAATGAATATATGGATATATGCTATTTAAGGGGCTTTACAGAATCCTATAGCTCTCCCAAAAACAAAAAAAAAAAAAACAAAAAAACCATCCATGGGCCACCCATTTCCAGAGATGCTTTTTCTTTTCTGCCTCTTTATTTAGACTACGCGTGGCAGTAGCAGCCAGTCTGTGAATTATTCTATAACCCTGAGGCAGCTAGATCTGTGCCTTCAACACAGACACTGTTTTGCCTCGTGGTAACGGTGGTTCCTAGCTTTCGTCTGTTCCCCAAGCTTTGTGGTTTTGCTGCAACTAGACAAGTTCACTGATGTATACATTCTATAATATCAATTCTCCACCAAACTGAAAAGAGCAGAAAAAAGGTTTTTTTCCTTCGGAAGATCTCCAAATTTTTTTTTTTTGAGATTGTAAGGCATTTCCATGACTAAAAATTGGGCTCTGTTGTTCCTTTGCATTGTTCTGTTTCTTCTCTCGTGGTTTATTTTCTTCCCCCTGGTGCTGCAGACACACAGAACACTAGTTATCTGGGGGCAAGAAGGCGGAAGCTCCGTCTGGGGCGCAGCCAGGCCCTGGCAGCACTGCCCGGGGCAAACCGGTTTTTCAGTTGGTGACACCAGGAAGATGACGTTTCCACGGTGTGGAAATCACCAGCAGTTCTTGGAGGAACAGTGGTGGCCAAATTTAAAGATTGACTGACTGACTGATGATTGATTTTCTTTTTTTTTTTTAGTGCCATGAAACCAAAAGCCAAATGTTTGCTCTCCTGCAAAAGAGTTAAAACAGTGGCCTAGTCTGTTTTTCATTATCTTTTATTTCTCCAGCACCAAACCTCTAGGCATAGAGGGAAGGAATAAAAAGTGTGTCATCAGCTGAGTGGTGTTAATTTGCTTTTTCTGTCTTCCGTCTGGGGCTCGGCCATGCAAAACATCCGCAGAGAGCCTGCTGCGGTCGTGCCCGGCAAGCAGGCCAAATTAATTCGCGCCTGAGGAGCAGCAGCAGCCAGATTGATTTCCGCGGCTGCGCTATTCTTACAATTACTTCTGCATGAACAGGCCTTCTGGTTTCTGGTCAAAATAGCACTTTCTCATTCTTGGTTTTTTTTTTTTAATTGTCATAATTTATGTTCTGTAAAATGTGTGAAAGAGGATGGAGCTTGGGTGAGAAGGAGGGGCCTGAACCTGTTTGGCCTGAAGGCCGCTGTGCTCTCAGGGCTGGAGGGAGGTGGCCTTTTTTTTTATTGGGTTTTTGGATTTTTATATGTGGGTATTTGTATGTTTTTACTTACAACCAAATCAAGTGGTCTCTAGAGAAATGACAGTGATTGGGGACATTCTCTGTAGGGAAGCACGTCTCTTTTTGTCCTAGCATCATTTTGGAGAGAATGATGGCTTTTCAAACAGCTCCACAAGTAGAGAGAACTTTTAACAAGAATAATAAGGTTGCTAAGGATATTTTAGCAGTGTTGTAACTCTTAAAATTCAGTAAGAGTTATGAATGAAGACCAAAAAACAGGGGAAACACACTTTTCCATTATGTTTTAAATACCATGCCTTAATCTAGGTCTTAGTTATGCCTATCCTGATGACGTGATGGTTACCTTGGTTACAAGCCCTCTCACCTGGAATTTGGAGCATTCTCACTGTGCCCCCAGAGAACTGTTATTTCGTGGGAAAGAAATAACGACTGCTCGTGATTAGTGCGTCCGTCACTGCCCAGTGGCTTGGTTTTGGCTCCTGAAGTCATTCATTTGGTTCAGCCACTGCTGGGCTGGAGAGAGTTGTTTATTTACTGGGCCCGCAGCAGTTCTTGATGAACACTGGCTACATATTTCTTTTTCTATCAAACCTTTATTGAAGGTCCACTGAGCCATGGAGACTTGGAAAATCCTGGAAAACAACTAGGGATTAATGTCAGGGAGTGGACAACATGAAAAGAATAAATCATATGAGAAATGCAGGCCATCCTTGGGCTGCCCCTCTCTGACCTGAGGCTTGTCATTCATAATGCGTCTTGGGGTCTCTCTCACCAAGCCTGGATACCTTGACACCCTTAGCAACTCCGTTCCAGGCAGCCACAACCAGTCGGTAGGAATTCTCATAATGTGATCTTTCCCCAAAGGTGGCTTAATCATGGCATGTTAAGTGAATAGATGTTTATATGCTCATTGATTCATCCAGTCAGGAATAAATAGATGAACAAGAAACGATCGTTCCCTGTTCATCTCCCAGGTCTCTCTTGGCCTCCCACTTCTTTGGCCTGCTCTAGGGAGCTGAGGGAGAATGAGGACATGGGAACACTGGCTCTAGCTGTCCTGGGCACGCCTAGTGCCCTGGGCAGAGGAGGCAGAATTGACAGAGCAAAGGTGAGCTGGTTCGTCTAAGTGGCACGGACACTCTAAGGCAGTCGCCTGGGAGCCCAGGGCACTGGAGGTTGAGACACCTGCCTGACTCCCTGTCTCTCCCCGTCCTCAGTTCTCACCCCTGGACCGCTGTCTCTTGACATGACTGTTCTCGACCATCCACTTCCATCCTGAGAGTACAGACAAAGGTTTTCCTACCCAAATGTACCTCCCCTTCCCTCCTCCAACCCCAGCAATGGACAGTCCTCTAATTTTCTTCCTACTCCTGCTAGCATGCCATCCACACCTTGCATTTCACTTTTAGCTAGGTATTGTAAGGACAGGTAGCAGTTCATTGGCCCTGAAATGTTAAGTTCAAACTGCTATTTTATAATTTGGCTATTCAGTGATAATATTCAGCGTTCATTGGTGCTAAAAGTCAATACATTATTTCAAAATAGATAAAAAAGAAAAAAAAAACCAAAATGTGGTCACTATATACTTGGCTTCATTTAATCCTGCCTCTCCTTTTTCTGTATGAATAGGGTTCATTTTAGAAGGATTTGGTCCATAAGACTTTCTAAGTAATTTTCTAGCATGATTCAGAATGGAACTATTAAATACTGCTTCCCTTCTCTTACCATCATATACCCAGTTTCTTCCAAATGCTTGAAACAGAGCTACAGAGCTTACATTTCCATAAAAAGGAAAATCACATGACAAGCATATGGGTTAAATATAAAATAAGTTTTAAAAAAAAATTCCAAAAGAACCCAATATAGCCTGGATAGTTTGAGTGTATTTGTGTATATTTTTAGTTCTGTTCCTTGGAAGAAAATCTACAATGACAATTGGGTGGTATTATTTGGCATAGTTCTTGTGATTTAATATTCATATGTTATGCATTTTAAGCAACATAATAACCTTTTGAGAAGAAAAATGTGTATTATCTTGCTTTTTAGAAATGGAAATTCTGAAAAAAAAATAAAAATAGAAATTCTGTCAGGGATTGTGTTTTTAGAACTAAGGTTGTTCTTTCTTCCTGAGAAATGCAGATTCCATGGAGCCTGCCAAGTGAAGTATGGACTTAGCAAAGTATAAACATCCTTCTAATTATAATGGGACTCATCACTGGTTCATTGTTTCTGTTGATTTGCATGCTATTCCTAACACTCTTGAGTTACCTGAATACGTTTCTACTTAAGTCACATTAAATGTTAATATTAAGTCTACTAATCCATTTTAAATGTTAGAAACTCTTCAAAATTCCTAATTTAATAAAAATCCCATGTTATTTTAGCTTTTAAATCTTATTTTTGGGTAACCTTTAAATACAATTCTGTCAGTCTCATTGTATTCAGAGACCTCTAACACTGTTTGGATGTCCTGAAGGTTACGGTTTTATCAGCGATATGATAGATGTTAGTTTGGAGGGGCTGGTTAAGTGCTTTGTGTATATCATCTTCTTAGCCACTCACAGAAAGCCTGTGGGGCAAGTTCCTCGCCAGGATCACACA